ATGCTTCATTTTTTCTAACTCTTGGAATGGTCCGATCTCAATTCATGTCGGGCAACCTCCTTTAAATTTGCCAAACTTGATAAACTTTCGCTTGACAAATTGGGGGGGGGGGGGGGGACTTACGGTTAGAGATGAGATTCATACCATCTCTAAAACCCTACATCAGTTGAGATATGCCCACTTCAAAACCCTAAAGAATATTTAGGTCTTCCATTTATCTAATAAAATTCTGGAAAAGACGGGAAATCGGTCTTATCAGGAAGAAATTTTTCCTATTTCAAAGGAGAATCCTCTAAAGGAACCGACCTAACTGAAGTATAAATAAAAAAGTCATCCACCTCTCTAGAACGATCCAGAAAAAATTCTCTCTCGAAACCTAGGGCAAACTAGCAATCTATTGTTCTTAGTTTTTGAGCTTCTTTTCATCCATAGTTTAAGTCGGTATTCTTATTCCGACGACATAAACTACCGTATATCTCTCGAGCTCCGGCTTTAATCTAATAAAGATCTCTCTTTAAACCCATTAATTCTTGTTCAGTCTTTAGATAGAATTTAAACTATCACACACATAGTCCCAGAAAGAAATCATTTGCAAAGAAGTAAGAAGTATATAGAAAAGACATGAAACGTGCATTTGGAGTATTGCAGACCATCTCGCTTTTGGAGTAAGAAAGTTTTACATAATATAATGACAATTTATATCATAATGCATAATATGATCATAGACGATGAACGGCTACAGAAGTTGAGATGGTGAGTGATGATAATGTTTGATTTCAATAATTTTTAGTCATGTACAAGTAAATTAAGGACCGTAAAGCTCATATCAAACTTTAAAATGTTTTAATTGGACACTTGTGGTTCAAATATACTAATTTTGAGAATTAATATGATGTAATTTTTTTTTACTTTTTTAATTTATTGATTGTAATTTTATGTTTAACTTATACTCTCTCTGTTCCATAAAGATTGATGTTTTAGGTATTTTTTTGTTCCACAAAGTTTGATGTTTTAGAGCATTAAATACAGTTTTTTGTAGATTTCAAGAAAAGTAACTAAAATTATTTAAATTCTTAAATTGTTATTGATTAACATTTACTAAAAATCAATCAACACAACAATAACCCATAAGTCTCTCCATGGCTGGACACATCAGCATTTTCAAGCTTTTAGGAGATGACATTTCAGCAAAAAAAAACACCAATAAAAACATTTCATTAATACAAGTCATTAATTTATTTTAACTTTTAAATTTAAACTCATTAAAAACTCAAATATTTTTTATTGTTAATTTTAGTTTTATTTTTTGGTCAAGCCCAAGCCCAAATAATAAATAACAGCAAATAAAAAAAATTGTTTTATTTTTTTAACAAACCCAAATAATAAATAACAACAAATAATAAAATTAAATCTTTGTTTTATATTTTTGCCAAATCAAAACTCAAATAATAAATAACAGGAAAAAAATTAAAATTTTTAACTATGTGTTTGCTTGATAGAGACGTATATGATTGAAGAAAGTGTAGACTTATCATCAACTATGCTTCCATAACAACAATGCAAAAAACGTATGTTATAAAAAGCTCACACACTAGCAAAAATTTGAACCAATAAAAACATAACAATAATACATATTATTAACACACTAATAAAATCAATTTACTATTTTGCTGGCCCATTAAAAAGCCCAAAATTTACGAAAAAAATAGAAGGCGAAAGCAAATGAGGAGAAACTCAGACCACCAAAGCTTGGAGATTCGCATTTCCACTGGTTACCAAGAACAAATTTTCTTGGGTTTGGCGGAAATAGAGAATTTATTGGTTTTGGTAGAAAAATGTGATTTTCAGTTTTGGTAGGAAAACATAGTTTCTCGGTTATGGCGGAAAAAAGCGAATTCTCGGGTTTGGCGGCAAAATGTGAATTTTTGGTTTTAGTGAGAAATAAAAATTTGATTTTGACGAGAAAATGCGAGAGAAATGCAACTTTTCAATTTGGACAAAAAATACGATTTCTCGGTTTTGATAGAAAATGCAATTTTTCGGCTTTTGATGGATAATGTAATTTCTTAATTTTTGCGGAAACTTGTAATTTGACAATTTTGGCAGAAAATGCAATTTCTCAGGTTGATAGAAAAGCAAAATTTCTCGATTTTGGCGGGAAAAAACAATTTCTTGGTTTTGATGGGAAATGCAAATTTTCAGTTTTTGACATATAATTTGATTTTTGGTTTTCGAGGGAAAATATGATTTCTTAGTTTTCGTGGGAAACGCAATTTTTCAGCAGATAATGCAATTTTTGGTTTTTGCGGAAAATTGTAGTTTATCGGTTTTGGTAGGAAGGCGTGATTCTTGATTTGACGAGAAAATTAATTTTTTCTTGTTTTGGTGGGAATAGACGATTTCTCGATTTTAGCGGGAAAATAATTTTTTGGTTTTGATAGAAAAATACTATTTTTTGTTTTTGCAGGAAGATGAATTTTTTTGGTTTTGGTGAAAAAACTTGATTTCTCTGTTTTGACGGAAAAACACAGGTTTTCTCGGGAAAATGTGATTTTTTTGGTTTTTGATGTAAAATGCAATTTCTTTGTTTTGGTAGGAAAATGAAATTTCATGTTTGACGAGAAAATGAATTTTTTTGGTTTTGGCGGGAATAGGCGATTTCTGAGTTTCGTGGAAAATAATTTTTTTTTGTTTTATCGGAAAATGCAATTTCTCGGTTTTTATAAAAGGATAAAATTTATCTGTGCTAAATTTTCAAGTTATAATATGTTTATAGTAACCAAAATTGAATTATCTAACTTCAACTAAATTGATATTTCTACAGTTCAAATAGAACTTTCTATTTAGTTCTAAAGTAATAGTAATGATTTTGATATGAATGTTATTGATTATAGTTTGATAGTTTTAGAAACATATGTCTATAATAAATATTTAATAAATAAATAAATTTCATAATTTAAAATAATCATATTAATTAATATTTTTTTAAATGACAATTTGCTTTATATAATTTCAAAGGAGGATCAAGTAGCAATTTAATAGAGAAAATAAATTACATCTACCATTAGCTTGAAGGTACTTAAAAATGTATTATTTTATTCTTACATATACATTTATAGATAGTTAGCTAAACAAATTTGATAGTACATTATAATTTTAAAAAATAAAAAATTAATGATATATAATGTTTATTCAGATTTAAAACATATAAATACATAACTTAAGCTAATAAAAAATAAATATAATACTCATTTAAAATATATAAATAATTTTATTATATTAAAAATATACAAATCTAGAAAAATATCTCGCAGCGTAGTGCGGGTAAATACCTAGTGATTACCAAAAAGTAATGTATTTATAATTAAAAAGTAACTGTTTCTTAATATGTGTAATTAGTCTAAAACGTCATAGTTTTTGGAACGGAGGGAGTGATAAAAATAATTAGTAAAAATCTGAATCATATTATTTAAAATTTTTGATTTAAATTATTTTTTAAACAATTAATATTTAATAATATAATAATTTAATATTTAAATTTAATAACATAATAATAAAAATGTTATTTTTAGTATAAAAATTTGATGTTGTGGTTGTAATAAAAATATAGTAAAATATCAAAATATCAAATTTTGTGATTTCAAAACTAAATTTAGTGTTATGGTTTAAAATGCTCATAGTGCTTACCACATTTTCTGTTCGGACGCATTTGTATACACTTTTGTTTTCTATACTACTCCCGTAACTAGCGGATCTTGCCTTTATTTGAAAATAGTTGAAGCATACAAGCAGTAGTACAATATAAATAATTATAGATTTAGAGGTCATTTGAACGGGGCAGGTGTGACTCACCAACTATAAATAATTTAGCTGAAAACAATAGCACAAGTATTAAATTTTGCCAACACTTCAACATTGATGACTATTGTACAAAAATATTAATCTATTTTTATACAGTACATTTAATCAATAATAGGTGTTGGTATGCACGTATGTATAAATGTAAAATTTTTATTAAAAATAAGCTAATTATAATATTAAAAATTATTATTTATAATAAATAAATAATTAACTACTATAGTCGAATATATATATATATATATATTAGTTTTGCATGATTATTGAATTTAAGATTATTGGTTTTAAAACTTATATATATGAATTAATATGTATAAGATAATATTTTTAAATACTTCAAAGAAAAAACTTAAAACTAAACAAAATGATTCCTTTTTCTATCTTTTTTTACTTCTACTTTTTGTTTGTATTTTTATTTTATTATGATTTATTTTGTTACCTTTTTTCCATTTCTGAACTTAAATGATCTCTCTATAATAAAAATGCATTCATGCACATCTAACATAATTGTTTGTTATTGTTTGAAAATGAGACAAAGTAGGATGGTAACAAAGGTTCTGAAAATTACATAAAATAATGATATATGAAAGTTTTTAATTATTCATACAAATATATAATTCGATTGATATCATAAAAAAGTTATTCACTATATTCCATATTATAAGAAGTTTAAAGATATAATTTTCTTTCATTTTATAAGATGTTTTATAAGTTTTTATACAAATTTTAATATTATTTGGTATTTTTAATTCTTCAAATTATATACTTAGTAATTCAAGTCTTTTCGTATCAAAAATATCATTGGAAGTTTATATACATTCGTATTATAAACATAGAATTAAAAAGATGATTCTTTTGTTTTTTCATCTCATCATGCTTTTTCTTTCTATCATATATCGTTTTCTTTTTATTTCTGGTTTCCAATTCCCGCTTTTTTGTTTTAAAATTGGAAAAAAGTGAAATGATAAAGCAAGTTCCAAAATTTAGTTAAAAAAGACAAAGGCACAAACGACAGAAACGACCTACTAACTATATTATACTGTCGCGATGAGCTGGTTGTGTCGGTAAGGTCAATGCTTATCGGTAATACCACTTGGGGATTAATACTAAAATATATGACCAGCCATCACCTCACTGGTGACATGATTCTGATCAAAGAAAGGAATTGTCAAGGAAGTCTACCTCTCACATACAAACTTTGTGCCTTTTGATGTTCAGTCTTTCGGCTTTTACCCAACAAAAAACAAGCGGATCCCATACTAACTATGGACGGACGTAAACTGAAGATACCCTGTAATCATCAGTTAGAGTACGTCGACACAGATTACGGTATCCGATATGAGTGCCAAGAATGCCGTGAAGAAGGTGGATACATATATTACTGTTCAAGCTGCAAATTTGGAGCGCATGAGCAATGCATCGACTTCCCAAAAGTCATCAACTACCCGTGTCACACCAAACACCCTCTCAAGATTGTCTCCAGGGAGACGACTGACTTAACAGATGGTGAGTGCCATTTTTGTGGAAACCAAAGTGATCGGATGTATCATTGTTCCCTATGTAATTTCAGCATCGATGTCAAGTGTTCGATAATCCAACCACCGCTTACTATTCATCAACCAAGGAGCCACAACCATGCACTCACCCTCTTTCCGAGAATGATCTCATTCATTTGTTCTGCATGTGGGACGCTTGGTGACCGTAATCCTTACTTCTGTGTTCAATGTGATTTAATGATGCACAGAGATTGCATCGACTTGCCCCAAGTTATTAGAATCAATCGTCATGAACATCGCATTTCTCGCACTTATGTTCTCGGTCAACGCGATTTGGAATGTGGAGTTTGTCGCCAAGATATGGATTGGAGCTCTGGAGCTTTCTCTTGCAAGCGTTGTCCTGGTTATGCTGTTCATTCAAAGTGTGCTACAAGAGAAGATGTCTGGGATGGAAAAGAACTTGAAGATGAGCCTGACGAAGAGAAGGACGAGGATCCGTACGATGTAATAGAAGAAAAAGAAATTATTCATTTCAGTCATGAACATCGTCTAAGACTTGGTGACCATAGCGTTACCGTTTATGAAAAGGCGCAGTGCCACGCTTGCATCCTCCCGATCCATTCTGATCCATTTTACAAGTGTCTGCAATGCGAGTTCTTCCTTGATGAAGCATGCGCCAATCTTCCTAGGAGGAAACGGGATATATTTACCAACCGCAATCTCACTCTAGAGGTTCGTTACAAGGCTGGCGAGCATTTCGAATGTTCATATTGTCTTCAACTTTTCGATGGCTTCCGTTACACTTCGGATCGTGTTTTACTAGATGTGCGGTGTGCTACCATCTCTGAGCCTTTTCACCATGAACTGCATCCCCATCCATTATATCGCACCTCAACGAAGCATGATACTTGTGGAGCATGTGGTAAAGGTTCAAAGAATGTCTTAAGATGTATTGTTTGTGAGTACGCTTTAGGCATTGAGTGTGCCACTTTGCCAAGAGAAGTGAAACACAGCTGCGACGATCATGTTTTGTCGTTACATCATGGGGCCGAAAACGCAAAGAGTCAACTGTGGTGCGATATTTGCGAGGGGAAGACAGATCCGAGCGTGTGGTTTTACGGTTGTGATGATTGTGGGGTCACTCTCCATATCAAATGCGTACTCGGAGACATGTTTTACCTGAAGCCAGGGAACAAATACTGTGGAGGTGAACTAGTTCCCAACGATGGTATGACTATTCCTTTTTGCATAGTTTGTGATCAGCGTTGCATATTCCCTTCCTTTCTTAAGGGTGCTGCTGTGTCAGACTCATCAGTTGTTGAATACGCTTGCTCAATGGAGTGTGCAGACAACCACGAGTGGCGTTCATAGATTTATTCTGTACTTTTCTCTTTTCAAGCTTCATGTATGCAAATAGGCTAATTTAGTCAATAAACTTTTGCAAATCTTGATTCATTCCTTGCAAATTTATTATATGTACATGGTGTGTTTTATGCTTCCATCCATTTAAAAGGGCCAAGAGTATCTCAAGTATTTTAATCACATAAGACAAAGAGTGATGGCATGCCTAGATTAAACTGCCTTCTTGCCTAAGATTCATCAGGTATTTCAAATAGAGCTTTCATATAACGTTTGAACAAAAACACTCAAACGCAAACTTCATATATATCTTAAAACAGGAAAATAAAAAAAGAAACCGGTCGAAATTTAAAACGCAAACTTCAGATACACTAGATCTTTTCCCCCGCCCCTTCTGTGATCTTCACTCTCATGGTGATGCCTCACTGTGATCTACCGCAACCCAGTCCAGTTTAAAATGGTAAGCAGAGAAAATATAAAATTATGACAACTGATTTCTGACAATTTGGATTCCGAGATGACCCTTCCCTGATGAGTTCCCAAGTGTGCTATACATGCAAATATAGCTATGAGAAAACTTTTCTCATGAAAAGACAATAAAAAGAGCAAGACAAGCAACATACCGAGCCTACGGAGTTTCCTTGAAGTTTGGGCAATTCTCCACTTTCAATGTCAGATTAGTGAGAGTTGACAGTTCGACTCCTACAACAACTTTCTCCAGCTTCTCACAAGACTTTGTATGCAGGTCTTTTAGGCTGCTAGGCATTTGAGATGCCTCTGGGAAGAGCGTTATGATATTCGGGCAGCTATCTATGCTTAGCTTCTTCAGATTCTTGAAGCTACCAGCACAGCTTATAGTCTCCAACAATGGAAGATTTGTGATCGACAGAGTCTCCAGTGATCCCAAACGTTCCTCATCCACATCAGCGAAAAGGATCTTTGTATCCACGAACATCCTTAGCCAGCAGCTCTTCAATGATTTGATCTTGTTAAAGATGGATGTGAGCCTTGTAGAGCTACAGTCCACAAAAGACACAAACTCAGCATTAGCTAGGGCTTCCTCACATAGTTCATTAGTTTCATTGATCGCCATGACTTCCTGCTGGCTTGCGGAATCAAACAATGATATTATCTTCTTATATAGAGCCCTGTCTATGGGAACCTGGAGAAGACGGTCCTTGATTACATCTCCATTTTCTGAACAATCACTGGCGCAAGGTTCATTTGATTGAATCTCTCTTGTTTCTCCAGGCTCCATTTCTGAGATTTCTTGGGATTTAACAACTGCATTCGAGGAGCTGGCCTTGTCAGATCTCTCACTTTCAATGTCATACTTAATTCTGCTCCATTCCTCACCTTTAAAGCGCCTCCCATCTGCCAGGATAATATGCTTTAGACAACGGATTCCAGTCTTCGTTGGCAACTTTGGTGTCTTCACTTTGGTTCCAGAGAGATTTACTTCACGTAGGTAAAACATGTCCACAAATGATCCCTCAATCGTATGCAACTTAGTACAGCCGGAAACATCAATGACCTCAAGATTTGTGAGATTTTTGATGCTTGGAAGAAATTCTAGGTTGGTGCAACCCTTTAAGAGGAGTTTGTTAAGACTGGATAGCTCACCGATGGTGGAAGGCAACTGGTGAAGATTAGTGCCTGACAGATTAAGATATCTGAGTTCCTTCTTATCCTCCAAGTATACTTCCACCATTTTCACTAAGCTGATAGTGCCGGAAAGATCAAGAATTTGGAGACCTGACAAGGGCCTCAGGCTAGGTAACCTTTTCAATTTGCTACAATCGCGTAACAAGAGCCGAGTCACGGAGTGGATCTTGTTGCCTACCGCAGAGTCCTGGAATATTGGTAGTCGCACTATTTGGCTCTCTGAGAAGTCAAGGAGTTGAAGATTTGTAAGATGATAAAAGTTTTTGTTTTTGCTTGGGTCTTTCTTGTAGCCTTTTGTGTTGTCAAAACACGTTTGAAGTCCACGGGCACCGGAAATATCAACAACCTCAAGCTTCACTAGCTCCTGTATGTCTGGCAAATCTTCCAATACAGGGCAGTCCTTGATGATGAGACAGTGGAGTTCCATCAGTACAGAAATGCTAGAAGGGGATGATGCGATCTGAAGCCCAGAGAGGTGAAGACTTTGAAGTTTAGACAACGCCTTAAAAAAATCATCAGAGATTTTCTTCAGGGAGCTAGCGCCAGAGACTTCAAGAACATGTAGCCCTTGAAGAGCCTTGAGGTCCTCAATATCTGTCAGTAGATCACAGTCCCTGATCACAAGTACCCGGAGTTTCATTAGTTTTGATAAGGACGGGACAAAGTGACCAAGTGTGGGTTCAAAAAGGCCAAGCACTTCAAGATCCTTCAGCTTTTCAAAGAACTTTTCTGAATTTTCACGACGCAAACGCTTTCCACTAATCATGATTGTGGTAACTTTTTCTCTTTTCCTCGTTACTCTCACTGCTTCTATGAAGTCATCCACGTGGTTGATTTTCCCTAGACATTTTGTCATGTCACTACCACAAACTTTAGCAAGTCCGATTCGAGACATGCCTGACAGTCCACGCCTCCGAAGATCAATCAAGTTGCTCAGTGCAACCTCCGGCATAACCACATTGTCCCCTTGTATCTTCAGAATACCACGGTTCATAAGCTCCATCAAGATTGCATGGCCATCGTTATAGGCTTTTGTAACCGATCTAACAGGATCGAAGTAGCCTTCGAGAATCCAATGTGCGATCAACTCCTGGTAATTAACACACCCACAGTGCTCGAAGAAGCTCAGACTATGCCAGAAGCAGTCAACAATAGAACCCCTCATGGTTTTTAATAACTCATATGCGAAATGTAGAAGAGGATTATGCATGGACGTAGCTCCATTACGATCATAATCAAAAGTTGAGAAAGATGGACAAGAAGAAAGGCATAACGGAAGCTTCGTACCCATGGAGTTTAGAGACTTGGCTAGTACAACGACTGCTGCTGGCAAACGCATGCTCATTTCCACGATAAGATGTATCAAGAGCTTCTTATCTCCCCCCCCATGCTTTCACTAGGTGTTCAAGTGATCCATCTTTGATAAGGAACTCGAGTAGATACCCCAAATAATCCTCAGTAATGGTGTCGCGTAAAGCATATGACACATCGTTGGAATGGAGCTTGATCTCCGCATCAGAGTTTATAGCCTCTTCGTCTCCTTTTCTTCTTGTGAGAATCATTTTTAGAGGTCCGTAGGATGCAAGAAACTTCTCTAGGTACCAATCTTTCATCACTTTTTTCTCATTGATCACACTTCCTTCATCTTCCAAAACCAAGAGGTAAAATGAAGCACCCCCACGGTTCCGGGTCGCTGCAGAATACTTCCTTTCTTTACGCCTAAGGTTATCTTTAATAAGCTCTTCATTGATCTTATCCTTCAACCTTATCAAGTCTTGAGCTTTCTGCTCCTCTTCATCTTCATCATTCTCCTCGTCACTGTCATCCTCTTCACTCCCTTCCTTCTCGAGAAATAAAGAGAGCTGAGACGCTATATCCCCGTAAAGCGACATTTCATCCATCGTTTTGTTTAGATTCAACCAGAGGGCGATGTAGCACAGTCCCTCACTAGTTGCACGCTCGCATATCTCTCGAGCCATCCATGTCTTACCTATTCCAGCTTCACCAACAAGTATGACTCTCGAAACAGTGTCCTCTTTCAATGAATCCAAAATGTTATCGCACACTCTATCTACACCGTCCCGGTAAGCACCATATGGACCCATCACTGGTACAGCAGAGATATCAGCAAAACGAGGAAAAGAAAAAGAAAGCCAAACAGGAAACATCAAAAGTGAATCTTATTAACATCTGATCTAAAAATTGATGAAACGGAAGACGAGTCCTAATTTAATATAAATCAGCAAAAAGTCTACATATGAATGTGGGTGTGCGAATGAAGGAATCGTCGGATAAAGTGACGAACCTTGGTCAAGCAAACCCGAGAATCGCCGTAGATCAGATCGCTTCGCGGTGACTTTGGTCGTAAGAGTGATTCCGAGCCGAAAAGTCTTGCTACAAGTCGAACCACACCAAAGAAAAGAGTTGTATATATTAAATGATAGATACGAATTACGAATATATTTCATAGCTTTTTTAATACCTTTTTTTTTCTTCTTCTGATGATTAATATTGAAACAAAGGAGGAATTCAGGATGGATACAGAGGTGGTGGGATACTGAACAAACCGGAAGACCACCGTTTAATACCTAAAAAATAAGTTATTTTAGTCCCCAACTTATATCTCTAACCATTTGACCACGTCTCGTTAGTAATCTGACTAAATTTCTGTTAAGTATAATCAATGATTTAAGACGTAATATAAAATTCCGCATGTATTCCCTAATTTTAGAACTCTAAATTAAAAGAAACAAAAAAAATCAATTTTGGCTTCAAATTTGTCATAAGAGAGACAATAGTGAAAAAATTATTTTCCCAACATAAATGCAAAATTTCATTTTCCTATTAAAAATATAAAATCATGTTTTCTGTCAAAATATAAAATTTTGCTTTCGAATTTTTCTTTTTTAGAACCGGCCGATTTTGCTTTAATGTTAATAACTCAAAATTCCATTTTTTTGCTAACAACACAAAAATTTTAAATTTATTATCTTGTCAAAAAATAATTTTTTTTTTTATCAAAATCGCAAAATCTTGTTTTTATAATAAAACAAAATTTTGTAATTTTATTAGAAAAACAAAATTTGACATTTTCAGAGAAAAAAAAATAAAATTTGTGTTTTTAACTAAAAATAATAATACCTTTTGACATATTTAAATTATTACTATTTTTGAAAATAAATATAAAATTTATTTAAACCAAAAAAATATTTTTACAACTATTACTTCTATTTTTATAATAATAATATAATTATTAGATATAAGTAATGTTGAAATTGTAAAATAAATAGTAAAATAGGTAATTGTACTCCAATCATAGCTTTTGGTGCGATTTGGGTTATGTTCATTTTCTAAACAACTAATCAATACAACAATAACTCATAAGTCCCTCTATGTGTTGACAACTCAGTTTTTTGTGTTATTAGAAGCTAACACATCAGCAAAATACTGAACCAATTAAAAAATTTCATTAATACACTTCATCTCAATATTTTGACACATAGGCAATTTTTTTTTATCATCAAAAATTTTCATTAATAAGACCCAATATGGACAGTACATAGAAATTGAAGCTCAATATTATTATTTTGGGATAACTGCAAAATTAACCATCATTATATCGATGACAAAAATTAAAACACACCATTTTTAATAATGTACTATGTGTTGTTTTATAATTTTTAATTTTTAAAAAAAAATTTTTAAAAGAACAAACTGAGGCTCATTGTATATTATCGACATCTTCTTTCTCTTTTTCCCTATCATCATCTTCTTCGTCCATCTTCTTCAATTATTCTAGAAATTATCTAATTAACCTAACTAATTGATAACGTTTATTGGCAAACAAACCTAAAATTCTAATGAATCAATTAATATTGTTATCTCATCAAACTTATGATTTCATTTTTAAGATTTTAACTTTGTGGCAACTTTGCGGGGAAGAAGGATTTTTTAACCATGGATCTATTCAGGAGATATGGTGGTTCTCGAAAGAGTTTGAAAAAGATCTACAATCGCATTGTGTTGATGAATTTTCTGAAAGTTGAAACTTTAAAGAGGTAAAACTTTGTCTCTGATGCTAAAGACGGATGAGATATTCAATTACAGTAATACCTTGTAGTTTAAGTTGTATTTAGGCTTGCGTTTAATACTTTAATGTTTTAGGCCTTTGTATATTGGGTGTTACTCCTATATCATATTTGTCTTATGGCTTATTAATAAAACTATATCTAAATATATTGTGAAGTTTGAAAGTTTGATATATACATATAAGTGTGAGTAATGTTTAGGTATGATATATGTCAATGTTTACATGTTTAAAGCAAAGATATGAGAAAAAGTAAAAAATCCAGAAAATTATGTTTTCTATATATTAAAATTAAATAATTTTTTTTATACTTTGAGAGTGCACCAAATTTTAATTAATTATCAAAAGAATGAGTATTTTTTTAATTAAGTTATTGTATACTTATGAATGAATATTTGAAAGTGTATTAAGTTTTTGAAAGCAAATATATTATGTTTAAAGGTATAAGAGATCTGATCGAAAAAGTTGTCAACCGCCTAAATCTCGACCAGTGACTATGATTTAATAGATGAAATAAACACTGATATGATTTGGAGAATGGGAGGAATGGCGGCATTATGAAGCCATTTTCGTAGTTGTTAGACTTGTTTCTAGCATATGTGAGAGAAGAGAACTGAAGAAAAATAAAGTTATAAGATCTGAGGTCAATTAAATATGAGCTTCAAACATTTGACATGGTTATTTGGTTTCTTTCGATATATTTTGTAACTTTTTTAATTTCTAGAGCTAAGGTAGCGATCTGGTCAATATATAAACTTAAGCTATAGTAAATATGTAAGCTAATGTGAATTGTTGTTTCATTTGTGGTTTTTTACTAAATATTTTTTTAATACTAAATAAAAATTAATGTTAAAATAATTATTTTAGTTAGTGTAAGAAATACATGCATTAAAAGTTTCATAATTAAAAATATGAATATAACCTGCGAGTAGAGAAATTTATAATCATAAGTAAACTTATAATAGTAAAATGCGTTTTTTTAGTTTTGGTTGAAAAATGCGATTTCTCGATTTTACCAGAAAATATGATTTTACCAGTTTAGAAAAAAAAAATACAATTTTTCAGATTTCGTTAGGAAAATATAATTTGTGGTTTTTTCGAAAAATATGATTTTAGGTTTTTTTATTATTTTTAAATGTAAGAGTATTTTAGTCATTTGTCATTTTGAACTGAAACATCTAGCTCCATCAAGATGGTCCAATTTGGTTCATTCAGATAATTCTCATAAATTTATCTAAATCTTGAAAAATCATCTAGATATATCTAAATATTTTTTGATTTTGTTACAAAACAAACAAAATTCTCATTTTCATTCAAATGAATCATATAGATGGAGAAATAAATAGGGCATAAATCCAAAACTTATGCTAAATAAAAAAATAAATATAATATTTATTTATACTGTAAAAAAATAACTTTTTATTTTTAAAATATATAAAATTTAGAATAACATCCCGCAGCATAGCGCAGGTAAATACCTAGTCACACTTTAAAAATTATTGAATCGCATCACTATCAAATCGCATTACCTTTCGTTGGTAGGCAATGATTAGGGTATTTGCACTGCACCCTAATCGTAATGCCATTCGGAGCCTATGGTAGATGTAAAGCTTTTAATTTAGGGCTCATCAGTGAATTGGGAATTTTAAGTTTTGTATTTGTTTACAGATCTGGGGATTTTTTTTATCTTCTTTTTGTAACGATAAATAATGGGTCGACTAATTAGTTGGGTCGAGTTTGAATAGTTTTAACAGTGTAATTCGATGTAAATTGTAGTTAAGTCAATGACAAAATGTCAACGCCGTTCAAATATTTTAGAACGTCTGTTTCATGTTTGATGTTTTAGGATTTATATTTGTTTTTAAATGTTTGATGTTTTAGCTTTTAGTTAATGTATTTAGTATTACGAGACAAATATTAATGACAATATCTTGGTAAAACAAGATGAAAAGTCAAAAACACTTTTACGATTGGGCAGATAATTATGAAGTAGTATTACAAAGTTTTATTTATATATAGCCAAAAAAAGAATATTCTTCAGTCTTACTTTACTTTATCATCTTAGAGAGTACTCTTTTTTTGTAGCAGTTATTTTTATAAAATCAATGAATCAAGAAGATAATAAAAAGAAAAAGAAGCCCAAAGAAGAAGAATCACAAGATGTATATCAGAGATACGATGAGAAATCCATCACTTGAGAGTTTGTTTTGAATAAAAGATTTTATGATGTGGGAGAGCTTTATCCAGACAACAAAGAGATTGAAGAAATGATTCTAGCTATGTTGAAGATCAATATGCCTAAGTTTTTTTAGTTTTGGTTTTTTCCTTATTTTTCATTAAAAAAAGATACAAAATACATGAATTCATAACGGAAGAATTTTCTGGTCCTTCGTGAACTGGAACAGGTGCACCATTCTCCAAAAAAACAGATTCTCTTGGTGGACTTTTATTCAAATCAAACAAAACTTCTCTTTCGTTATTTTGAAATGGTAAATTTAGATAAAATTATGAAAAGCTATGGATGAATTTTACTAAATGGTGTAAATCTAGATTCATATATATAGAGGATTAGTGAAACGTTTATTTTGGTTTTGGCTCCAGTTTAAAGTTGTTTTTGTTGAATAATGAAAACTGTGGCTCCAAATTTATTTTTTTTTACAAAAATTAAAATGTCCTTTCAGTAACCAACTTCTTTTGTGTATGGCGACGTAAAAAGTGCAATACTTTATACTGCACTAATTAGATATAGAAAATAATAGTATTGAAATACGGAAAAGTCACAAAAACAATTAAAAAATAAAAAATAAATCACCGTAAAAATTTGTTTTAATCTGTGTGAAAATCCTAAAACTTCATACAATTAAAAACAAAGGGAGTAGTATACAAACAGTACCAGGTGATATAATCTGAGCAAAAAAAAATTAGTTGAATGAAGAAATTAAACGCTGAATTAACTGAAGTATTAAAATGCTCCTGAAAATTTAATTCAAATATTTTTATGAATTTTTTTAAGAGAAATTGTAGTAAATGGCCTTGCTACTCGTTTTGACACTTTTTCGGCGTGTCTGTTCATAATACAAAACTAACGTATTCCTACGTTCGCAACTCATTAAGATATGGTGTATCTTAGATATATGGACCCCACATTTACATCTTCGATACGGACCGACAAAATAATCCAAAAATGTGATTTTCTTTTAGAAAGTCTTTTTTTGTTCCGCAGCAATGGTCCAGTTTCCCTTCTGCTGTTTAGGACTCCCAACCACATAGAATTTCCGGCGAACTAAGAAATCGAAAATAGACTTAGGTCGGCGAACAATAGAGTATTCTACTCGCCTTCACATAAACTATCATGGTACGATCTAGGATTTTAGTTGTTGTTTTCAGTATCGGCAACCCATTATCTAATGTCTTTCGTTACACGATGAAATCCCAAACTTACCGAGACGATGATTGCCGCCGGTTCGAGAACTTTTGGACACA